CAAAAGAAAGGGATACGAAAGGGGCAGCCGTCGGATCGCCGCTCGCCCAACCAACGGCCCAACTCGGCTGCTTTGTTGCCGTGGTAACCTGTGCCTGCTCGCATATGCCACGTGGAAGCCGGAGGGGGGGCGTACCGAGGACTCCCATTATTTGAAGCGCGGCGCGCACGGGCTTTTGGGATTTTTGCAAAGGGCCTATTGCATCCTGCGGCTCGTACAAAAGCACTTGTAGTTGTCTTCATCGGGTTTATATAACTGTAAGGAAAAATAAATACTGCCTCAACGTCGGGGTCACCGTTAATAAAGTAGTAACAATCAACATTTTTGTCAAAGCATGAAGTTCCGATCAGAACTTCATGCTTTCAGCAAGATAGCAATGGGAACCGAAACTGTTAAAAAGCGAGGGCAGACGCTATGAAAGCGGTGGCAGCGCGTGCAACTGGGTGGATCGCTTACTGAGGCCGACCGCTCAACGACTGCTTGCGCGGAGCGCTCGGCATCTGCCTGGGCGAAGGGCTGGATCGCGCATCCCCGCTTGGTCGCTGCAGCTGCAGCGCGAGAGTGAAGCCACCGATCGGCGATTTTGCATGTTGAAAAATCGCGTTTTTGGAGCGTTCCGGAGGCTGGCGGCAACATGCTGAAGACACGTTTTCTACTCGTTCGTAGTCATTCGTCGAAGAAGCTCTTTAAAACCCGGTGTAAGCCCTGAGACTTGTCGTTGAGAACATGTGGAAGCGCAGTGCCGCAGTAAAATGCCCAACTCATCGAAAGCAAGTTTCGCCGCCACGATGCAACGCGCAGGTCACGAGTGACCCGCGCGTTGCATCATTGGACTTTTTTCATAATGCAACGTGCGGGACCCTTGTGACGTCACACGTGACGTCAATTGTTACGTCATTATAGGAAACGTCCCATAATGCAATGCGCGCGGGTCACGAATGCGACTGCACATTGCATTATAGGACGTTTCCCATGACTCAACGCGTAGTTACGCCGACGGCGACGTTGGCGTCGCCGGCCCGCGCGTTGCATCATGAGACGCTTCCCATAATGCAATGCGCGGGTCACAAATGAGACGGCGCGTTGCATTATGGGACGTTTCCCATAACCCAACGCGCGGTTACGCCAACGGCGATGTTGGCGTCGCCGTCGCCGACCGTGCGTTGCATCATGGGACGCTTCCCATAATGCAACGCGCGGGACCCTCGTGACGCCACACACGCCGTCATTATGGGACGTTTCCCATAATGAAATGCGCGGTTACGCCGACGCCGACGGCGACTGCGACGGTGATGCCGCTCAAGCCGGAAACGGGCGCCTAGAGCTGCTCTCTAAAAAATTAATAGATGTAAACCAAATTAAATTTTCATTCCACAGCCATGTTTGATCCCGTCTTTTTTAACAAAACTGAAATAAGCCTTTGTTAAGTGGTTTAAGGATGACGCGGCGTTAATACTAGGCCAAGGATAATATTAGGTGTCACCTTTTAGCACATTGAAGACATACCCAAACTAACGGTCATTTGTAACCATCATATAGTTTCCATATCAGCGAAAAAGCCATGTCGGTTACATATCAAAACTTGCATGGCTCGAATGGCCTGTGAAAGCAGCGAAAAAACGATGTCGGCCAGTCACCGAAAACTCAGTGGCTGAACTGGCCGGTGATAACAGAAAGAAAACGATGTCGGCCAGTCAGCGGAGACTCCACGGCTGGACTGGCCGCTGACTACAGCAAGAAAACGATGTCGGCCAGTCACCGGAAACTCCACGGCTAGACTGGCCAGTGACTACAGCAAGAAAACAATATCGGCCAGTCACCGGAAACTCCATGGCTAGACTGGCCGGTGACTACAGCAAGAAAACGATGTCGGCCAGTCACCGGAAACTCCATGGCTAGACTGGCCGGTGACTACAGCAAGAAAACGATGTCGGCCGGTATCGGGAACTTTCCGGCTGGTGCTGGCCAGTTTAGACAACGAGTCCCCGATATCGGCCGGCGTCGGTTTCTCACCGGCGTCCCTGGCCGGGATCCGCCGTACAGCTCCCGGTACTGGCCGACGTAATCCCAGTATCGGCCGACATGGTGTGCTACCTGGGACGGCCCTTCTTTTTGAAATACCAAAAATCGGGAGTTCGTTGTGGTGCCGTCTCCTGGATTTGTATCCTCCAACGGAAAACAGGCGACACCGCTCAAAACCGGTCCGCCGAAACGCCGCCGCTCACTCCTTTCCTCCTCGCTTTGGGTCGCCATGGCAACAGCAGGGAGTGGTGAAAGATAGTCGACTCTCAGGTCTCCGCGATTTTTGACGTCAAGGCACCGGCGCCGATCGCGCGGGAACTTCGAATTCGGCATTTGGAAATTGTTTTTTTACTTCACAAATACTGAATTCCCAAATTTCAAATTTTGAGGGTAATGTCCCGGCATCGTTTTCAATCGTTTCGGATAATAAAAAAAAATATGATTTTGATGTGTCAGTGCCCCTATATCTTTTCGCTCTGTCGTATACTGTTGAACACTAGAGGAGGGAAAGCTTTAGATAACTGGTCACAATGATTCAAAGCACCGAGGTGGCTGAAGTTTCGGTGTACTCTCAAGCGTACCGTTGTGACTCTTGTCAGAGGGAAACGTGGCCTACTAAGGGGCGGCTAGCCAACTGTTCATACTACTCGTTAGAATTATGATGCCTCTAGAGACTGTATCCATATGACGCTAGTTTGGACCGACTTGAGTGGAGGTCGTCGCATCGAGGATAAGATGTACTTCGATGGTCTTTTTTTTTTTCTTTTTTTTTTTGTTTGGGCGAGCATTGTGGGACAAAAGCTGCACTGGCAATATTGCGGCAAAATAATTTTGTCGATGAAATGTATTAAACGTGAATTAGATATGCATCAATAAGGAACCAAAATGCTACAAAAATTTAATATCTTGCAAAAAAAAAAAAAAAGAACAAGCGCTGTGCATAACTTACCATATGTTCCTTGAAATGAAACTACTTGATTTGTTTTTTGTTCCTTTCCTTCAGTAGTAGTTCATTGTACGTATTCCTAAAATATAAGCCGGTATGCTGTTAACTGTGAGCGGAGCATTGAACACTCTTTGTGGTCCTTACGGCTTCCCTTTGCCTTAAGTGGCTGTAAACATAATACTATGTTGTATTGACGGTTTAGAACAAAAACATTGCACTATGGCAGGCACCAAGAACACCGTCGATTGCACGCGATCTATAATTCACACACTTTAGGAGCCTACTGTGTTCTCTGGTTTTCTAAATAAAGCGCGAAGTGTTTGTGTTCGTCGCTACTACTTTACCGACCTCAGTTAACCATTAGCTGCAGACATCTTTTTGACCTTAAAGGAGTCATGAAACGCTTTTTCAACTTTTTTCTGTTTAGCTTTCCTCCTCAACTCATAAATCGCGCATTGTACCAAACAGTTCAAGAAGTCGGAAAGAAGGGAGTCCCCTCTTGCTCGGAATCTTGCTTGTGTAGCCCGGACACAGCCATTGTCCCCCTAGAAGATTAGCCCGTCGCTGAAAATTCCGACTAGTTGCTTTCCCCACCCCGTTCACCCCGAAGCTGACAGTGCTGTGGAAGCTACGTGCTCGTTGGGCCAGCCACACATTTTCCACGTGATCACGCCCTCTCGCGCATACCGACCCGCAGAGAATGAGATCAGGTGATGAAAGGGAGGCGGCTGATTGGTCCGGCAAGCGCGTAGCTTCCACCGCAATGTCAGCTTAGGGGTAAAGGGATTAAGTGAGGTCCGGTGTCGTGTGACGTGCGCTTGGGCCCTGGTGACGCGCTGCGGGGGCCCGGTTATGGTGGCTAGTAGCCCGGTGACGCGCTGCGGGGTCCGCGGATGTATCACAGTGAAAAGGCAGAGTTTACGAAGGGAAGGAGGTACGAAATAGTCCGCTATGTTTTGCAAATTTTTGTAGCGAAAGTCAGGCTTCTGACTTTCTACCTTTGTTCTTTTGGCCCACTGAACGATGTGCTATTAGTAAAATCCCAATATAAATTGATTTACTCCAGCCCAAAATTCGTTTCATGGGTCTTTTAACAACATATTCACCTTCGCGCTTTTAACGAAACCATATGCGCAGTACAGTGATGGGGATGAAGGTTCTGTAGCAAACTTTTTCCGTGACTCGTAATTCAGCGCAATCTGTTTGCTGATGTCACTTATTAGCTCACCACTCTCCGTGAACAATGTGCATCGTATTAGACAGTGTAAACCGATGACCTACTAATAAAGCTGCGTGTCGCTCGACTCCGTTCTCCACCCACGCCACGCTCAAAGTAAGCGTAGCCTTCGGTTCAAGGCTGGTGACATGGTTGGCCGATCAAGCACACATCTCGTTCTCCACATCTACGTTTGTGTTTCGGACCTTCATTTTCATTACGTCGGCTCTTTTGCTAATATGGAGTATCTTCTGCACTGCGCTGTAAAAAAACAGAATTGAAGAGAAAAAAGCAGAACCTAAACTTAGGGAGATCTATTTGAATTCCCCGCAATTTATAGGTCTTTCTTGATGACGGGTTGCTTAAGAATGAAGCATCCCATTGTTTGTCTATATCAAGTACCTGGTAGGTTCTGACTGGTAGTTTGCTCGTTTAGACCCTGTTAAAGTACGAGTTACGCTATCGAGCACTTTCCTGAATAATATTAGCATTAGAGTTAGTGACCCGCGTCCTCGGCGGTTGATATGTCAACGTGGAAGTTCTTGGAGAGCTGTGATGTCTATGGGTCGTTGGAAAGAGATCAACAGTCGGCGATTAATAAAGAAACAGAAGGCGTTGCTTATGATGTTCACGCCTTTTGCTTCGTGGTTCGTCGTTGGACTTTCTTATCGGCTAATGCCGTGACCTGATTCGCTGCGAAGCGATGGTAAGATGTTCGCGGATGGCCGCGTCATGCGCTTCTGTAGATGTCAGGGACCCTAGATGGCAAGCACCGTGCTTTTATATTTACTTTTCCTCTTATTTCCGTGCTTACAGAATCAGGACGATGAACGAGAGCAAGACCACGACGGAGACCTTTGTCTGTTGCCACGGCTTCGTTCGCAGGAAGGATGGTGCTGCCGGCTGTATGCAAGGTACTCCGGCTTACCACTGCCTCGTTACACCGATGACGCGCAGCTTGCGTCGATCATCCGGTCGAAGACATTTCATAGCCGCGTTTACATAACGGCGACACTCTCATGTCTGATCAGACGTGGATGGCTTGGGGATTGGGAATTCACGTTTTCATGTTTCTCAACAAATTTGCTGGTACTATCTATCGACTATCTCAGACCCAACTATAACCTCGTCAGATCGCCTAGCCTTTTAAGGCTTTGGCGCTTAGGCTTCTGGTGAGGTTCGGGTCGAAGTAAAAGGGCAATAACTTTTCGACACCTCGATAATGCGCAGTTGTAGATGCAGATAAAAAAAAAAGAAAAGTGCAGAACCGTGAATATTTGCAGAACGTTTCAATACAGGCGCCGTCGATTTTTACTTTATGCGAGGAAGAGCAAATGCGAAAGTTGGACGAAGGGGTCAAATTTAATTCAAACTTATTCTTGTTAGCTTTTATTAATACAGTCAGGCGCAGGTCAGGCGTTAGTCAGGCGTATAATTAGCTCCGCTGATTTCAAGAAGCAAGTGTTTGTGCTTCTGCATATTGCCAGAAATGACAAGCTGCCCGAGTCGAGCAGTTTCCAGGCGCAGAAAGCTGGAACTCTTTCGCGGTTTCTTTGGAATGTTCTAGACTGTGAACGTTATCGGCTTCCCATTCCAAATCTGGACGAGGGGAGCGGGCAGCTGGAACGCAGCCAACCCGGTTGCGCGAACGTAGGATCGTTTCCTCATCAGATTAAAGTGGAGCTGCGCAAGGGATCTAAGTTTTGAGAGATGGACGCGGCAGAAGTTCACCGACTGACATTTCAGATAGTCTGTTGCTATGCTCATTGACAGCTTAACCAAACCAGGAGTTGTTTATAGTGTTCACGCTTCTTGCTTCGTGATTTCTTCCTGGTCAATCATATCAACTAATGTCAAATAATGAGATAATAAGTTGTCAGTGTCTATAGTCAACTCCGAGTGCTCAGTTAGAAAATATTTTTCTCTAGACTCAAATCAAGGATCGAATCGTCGTCGAAGAAACATCGCAAGTAGTCTCACTTTTTTTAAAGTAACGTAGCCGCGTAACAGTGCCGCATAACACATAACGCGCGTTCACGCGAATGCCCATACATCGTCACTCTAGAAATGATGACGATGTATGAGCGAATGCCCATACATCGTCACCCATACATCGTCACTCAAGAAAAAAATGAAAGCCGCTTACAACTCCCTGTAACGCCGAATTAGAGCGCAGCTCTTGAGGAGGAGGAGGGAAGGGTACTGGGGGGGGGGGGTTAAACTAACCAGGGGGGGGTCACGTTACCTTGGGGGTCACGTGACCCCCAATGCCGATGATGTCATCACTGACGTCACTGATGACGTCATCAGTGACGATGACGATGCGGGTACCGATGACGTCATTAGTGACGTCACTGATGACTTCACCAGTGATAATGACGATGACGATGCGAATGTCGGTGACGTCATCAGTGACGTCGCTGATGACGTCATCAGTGATGATGACGATGACGATGCGGATGCCGGTGACGACATCAGTGACGTCACTGATGACGTCATCAGTGATGATGACGATGACAATGCGGATGTCGGTGACGTAATCAGTGATGATGACGATGACGATGTGGATGCCGGTGACGTCATCAGTGATGATGACGATGACGATGTGGATGCCGGTGACGTCATCAGTGATGATGACGATGACGATGTGGATGCCGGTGACGTCATCAGTGATGATGACGATGACGATGCGGATGCCGGTGACGTCATCAGTGATGATGACGATGTGGATGCCGGTGACGTCATCAGTGATGATGACGATGACGATGTGGATGCCGGTGACGTCATCAGTGATGATGACGATGACGATGCGGATGCCGGTGACGTCATCAGTGATGACGATGACGATGTGGATGCCGGTGACGTCATCAGTGATGATGACGATGACGATGTGGATGCCGGTGACGTCATCAGTGATGATGACGATGACGATGTGGATGCCGGTGACGTCATCAGTGACGATGACGTCATCGGGGGGTCACGCGACATCGGCGGGGGTCACGTGACCTCGAGGAGGGGGCCACGTGACCTCAGGGGAGTCACGTGACTTCGGGGGGTCACGTGACCCCCCACGAGGTCACGTGACCTTGGTGGAGGGCTCGCGCGGTGCATTATGGGACATTTCCCATGATGCACCGCGCGGTTACGCCGACGCCGACGCCGACGGCGACGCCGCTCAAGCCGGAAACGGGCCCCTAAGAGCTGCGCTCTAAAAAAAAAAAGTCAACGTGCAGGCGAATTGGTTTGTATTAATCACGATGTTTAGACCCCGAGGCAGGGAAGGAAATTCGAAGATATTCGAAAAAAAAAGAAAGGTTGCAGACCAAGCGTCTCAATCTTCTTTCTTCTGTTTCTTCTAAGATATCTTCGAGGTTTCTTCCCTGTCTCAGGGTGCTTAAACATCACGATTAGGAGCTATTCCATCTTTATTGTTAACGCTTGAGACTATTTGATGCAATGTTACCTTTAAAACGTTCAGTGCAATCTTCCCGTGCAATTTTGATCGCCAATATTGGAATTGGTGAGAACGTAAACCATGGGGGTTCCTATACTAAACTGACAAATCTGAATCTTGCACACGCTGGCGAGGAATGTCCATCCTTCACTATGGTCACTGACAGGTTAAGAAACTGAGGACGTGGTGAGTAGCGGGAATCTTAGTATCGCCCTAGAGCCAATTTGATTGCGCCATTAGAACGCCCAAGAATGAATCACAAAAGCTAGAAACGTGAACATAATTAGCCGTGCTTTTCGCGAGCCGTCGGTTTCTTTAGACCATTCGATAGGGAAGAACTGTAAATAAAATCGTACCAGGTTTTTTAATGTGCAGTGTCATTTCTTACGCGACAATAGTACTTTGTCATCATTCGCGGAGATCCACATTCATTTGAAGCAAGCAGTGGACTAGGATTTCTAGGAGGGATTTTGCCTCGGAGGCCACATATAGGCGACTGGGATAGGGGAGATATCATCGATGGGCGTCCTTATAGAATCGCGAAGTCGCGAACTCAGAAACGAATCCCATCTCTGAGCTAGAGGAACACGTGATGAAGGGAACAAAAACAGATCCCCCGAAGAGAAACACCTCTGCATACATATGGCGAAATGTTCTGGTTTCTGGGAATTGCGTTGAATAGTCTGCCCTGAAAGGCTTGAACTGGTTGGTAAAGCATAGCCTAGAAAAAATAAGACTTTAAATTGAAAGTTTAATGAAAACACACGCAAGAACTGCCGACCACAATAAACACCACATTATTTTATGAAACTTTCAGCTGTATGCCAGAGCTCTACTGTTTGTGACTTCTACTTGTCTGTCGTCTGGTATCTGCGATACAAAACCCCCAATACTGGTGCATATGCACGTACGTTGTTTACTATGGAATGTATGCACCACCAGTAAGCTATACCTCAGGATTTAGTGTATTCATTATCCAGCCTGTAGATTGGTCAGCAATAAGTTAGACCCGAGAACATACGCCACAACGTGAATAATTCTGAAAACTTCGTGTCGTCGTTGCAGTGGATCTGAAGGACCTGATGACTACCATGAAGGACATTGGTGCTTCCAAGTTCGTTGACGTCATTGAAGACAACAAACTGGACGAGGAATTGAAGAAGGAAAATGTGACCATCTTCAGCCCGACCAACATCGCACTCAAGGACATTGAGCAAACGGTAGGTTCTCAAAGCTCCCTCGCTTTCAGATTCAGTGGTACAATTAGAATGAGTAAGACCGACCCAAGGTGGGCAGTCTCAATTCCTTTGTTAACAATGGGACGCGCTGCTCTGTCGTCATGGCACTGCTGTGGCGCTGCTGTCGGCGCGGCGCGTGGGCAGACGCTTCGCTTCACGCAAATCTGGTTTCAGGGCATGCGCGTTGTCCACACGTGGTGAGGTCAAACGCGGCTTTGTTTGAGAAAAGAGCTTTTGTGTACAGTAAATCGACGCGTTAAGGCCGAAACGAGGATCTCTGCCGTTCTCAAGTTATCAATGAATCGTAAAGGCAGGAATTGCTTCTGGAAATGACATGACGCCATCAGGGGCTCAAACTCGTCAAGCACAAAGTTGGGGCCGAAGTTTACGGAGCCAACCGATTGGACTATCACGATGATGACTTGGTGCTTTTGTCGCCAGCGTCCTTTCGCTGCGCTTCGTGAACTTGCGGCTCCAACTTTGTGTTTGACGAGTTTAGGGCCCTAGAGGTGGAGCCAGGAATGAGGAGGGACACGCCTCCAACGACCATCAAAACCACAGCTGTCTTGGCCAGAAAAAAAAAAAAAAATCAGCACCGTATGTTTGAGTTTTAGTGAAACGAGGATAGCCTCCTACAACGTTATCACGCTATCCGATTCAGCCGGATCAACGTAAGCCGCTTGTCGCGACGGTTTCAGAATGAGGTGACGAGCAGCCAGGACGAAGAGCAGGGCAAGATGGTCAAAGGTCACGTCGTGAAAGGCATGCTGAGGACGAGCGACTTCCGCGACGAGATGGTTCTCGAAACCCTGGACGGGAGGTCTTCCATCCGCATCAACGAGTTTTACAACCCTGCCAAGGTAAGTTGGAAATTTCTGATATTATCGCAGCGTTTATAACAGAAAGATACTCGAAGGAGTCCGCGTTTGGGTGGGACTCCCTTTCAGTTAATAAGAACTCGAGACCCCGCCGTGTACAGTGTGTCCCGCGCTAGCTTCTGCTAGTGGCGTAGAAACCTAGTACTTTGGCCTTCTTATCTAAGACTTGTAGCATGCGGCCACAGTGTAAGAGGAATAGCCTTTTCAGCTGACTTGTGTACTTGCCCCTTGCTCTGTGGCAGCTGATGACGGCCAACTGCGTGCCGATCGTGTCGACCAACAACCTGGCGACCAATGGCGTGGTGCACGTGGTGGACGAGGCCCTGCCATCGCCCAACATGACCCTGCTCGAGATGATCAAGACCGACCCGCAGTTCAGCATCCTCAGAACGCGTACGTACACCGTGTACACGGAGTCATGCGCGTTTGGCCCTTGGCTTCTGCGCGAACGCGACTAAAGACCGAATAGTGCTTGGTTCTACAATTTAAGCGTATATAGGCTTACACCATATTGGTGTAAGCCTATAGGATGCGAACATGGCGTTTACGGCCATGCCTAGGTATGATAAGTCAAAACATTTCAAATCATTATATGGAATAAACTTGGTCGAGAATTTTTTTTACGGGTCGTAGAAAAAGTTATTGTCACTGTGTGCAGCGCGACACAAAATTTAGGGTACGGTCTTTATTATATATTTTTTTTCAGTACTGCCGTCCTCCGACCTCGAGACTATGCTTTCCGACACGTCTGGCCACCACACCGTGCTGGCGCCCAACGACGACGCCTTCTCCAAGGTTGACAGCGAAACGCTGAAGAAGTGGCAGAATGGCGAGGCCTGCGTGGGCAGTGAGTACTCGAATGTTCGCTCGTCCCCGGGTCTGTACTCCGTTTCATACTAGGTTCCACCGCAGCCAACTCTACAATCCAAACAGAAATCAAACAAACAATGACAAAGAAAACAACAACAAATATTTATGCATTGTGACGGCGTCCGTTGTCTCGATGGGTTTCCTATCAACGGCCAAGCCAATCAGCACGAGAAAGCAGGATCGCGGTGCATTCAATGTGCGTGATTGATTCGGCCGGTGATAGCAAAAGTGCCAAAGACGACGGGCGCCAAAACAATCTGGAGAGCAAGTCGCCTGCTTCTTGCGCGGGGAGAGGGGGGGGGGGGGGGGTGTTTCGGTGAGGTCAGAACGACGCCGAGTTGTGATTAGTTTTGATTGGAAGGATAGTAGGTAGACCTCAGGGCTAGATGCATATAGGCCTACCCACTATTTTCTCAGTCAGCCAATACGAGGTCGGCGTTCTGACATCATCGCAACCCCTGTGCAAGAAGCTGACAAACTTGCGCTCCACTTACACTTTCTTCGCTGCTCGATTTGCTCCGTCAGATTGAAGCGTTTACTGAGGTCGAACCTAATGTGAAACAGGGTTTAGTGTTACAAAGAAAAAAACAAAGGGAATGAGATCGACCTTTATCTCGGGGGGTATGGCTTGCTTTCAACGGAAGATAGACATTTTTTTAATAATTATGTTAAAGTCCTACGTTTATTTTTGAGAGCAGCGAAGCGGAGATTTATCCACTTGGCTGCAAGCAAATTTAATTTCGCCAGTGACTTTTGTGCGTCTATTTAGGTGGCCAATACTATAAGATGCTGTCAGTTGGCTTTCAAGTGATGCAACACGCCGCTTCTCAATTCACCTTTTAACGCGAGGTAAAGGATATTCGCAGACCCCGATAGACCCGAAAGCCAGAGCCCAACTGAAGAGTCGGATTAGGCTAGGGTCAATTTATAAGAGCAAAACGCCGAGGTTGGGCGCGGGCCGCTTTGCACAAACTGCAATTTTGACTAAATAAGAACGCGTCTTATCTTATCACGTTGAAAGAGCATATTGCTTATTACTCGCATGCGGCCATAAATTGGTGTTGCGAAAGGAAAATGAATTGATTCAAACTGCTTCTGAAAAAATATTTAGTTTGTTTAGAGCTACCCTGTTAAAATATATTAAAGATACACGTCTTAAAGATAGGCTTCGCAAATAATTAAAGATGTTTGGCAAAGAGTGCACCGATCGCCTGGGAATTTTATTACACATATGTGCGTGTTTCTCGGGATCTTCACAAACCCTCGAGCAGAGTATTGATATGTCACCTGACGTCAATCAGGAACTATCAGGTTCCCGTGACACTAAATACGTTTCACATAAGGTGTCTCGTAAGCATGAACACCGAGCAGGTAAAGATGATTGATGCATCTAAGGAAGTGGTCTAGCGGCGGAGTAGGCTAGTCAGAGTGTGTGACGTACATCTTTATTCTGCCCACCATCTACTTCATTCTCTTCCCGCTCGCGGCACCTCCAGTCCGTTCCTTCTTTCACAGCCAACATGACATACTATACCCCCGAGGTAAAAGGCTGCTTATTTTTCTCGGGCGTGAATCGGACGAAGGCTTCAGCTTCCGGTACATCTGTTGTAGCGGGATCTGGTTGTGAAACAGCTCTCTTCAGCTCAGAGGCGTTTCAAAAGTTTCCATGCTCGTTTCCAGGTCTGAGTGCCTTCTCGACCGTCATTGTAGGATCAAATAAATCGAACTGCTCTTTACTGCATATCCTGGTTAAAAACACACACGCTATTTCTATTCACGAATGCAGAGCTGCTACGGGGCCACGTGCTGTCCCACGTGATCTGCTCGATGGCGGTGCCCTCATCGGCGCGCGTGCGCAACTTGAACAACGAGCCTGTGACCCTCGAGCGGGACGGCGACAAGCTCTTGGCCGATGGTAGCGCCGTAGTCGCCCGCGACCTCATGGCCACCAACGGTGTCATGCACGTCATTGACCAGCTCATGATGTCCCAAGAGAGTGAGTTAGGCCCCCATCACGCCTTTACACTGCGCGACACTGTTAGCGCGAGCGAGAGATCGCCGGCTTTTTGTTTTTCTTATAGAATTCAGTCTGTTATCACAACTACTAGTGTGATGAGAACCGCTCAATCGGGCCACTATAAAGCAGCACGCCAGAGAAACGCCCGACTTGGCACAAGTTTGGCAATCCTAAAGGTCTAACTTGGGCCTAATAAAGTTTCGCTTCAAGGTATTAGTTAGCGGCGAAGTATCCTTTCCTCTGTTTTCTTTTGGCTTTTCTCCCTTGACTACATAATCGCCGAAGTGCCAGATGAGTCTAAGATTCCACGTATCAACAGAAGAACTAGAAGTGAAGCCTAATTCTGGCATTCCTTTGGCAATTTTGGATCAAAGGTGCCACATGAAAACCGAACGACCTGAAGTGAAGCCTTACTCTGTCACTTGTTTGGCGATTTAGGCCAAAAAATGCCAGATACCCAGACTTTGACTTTAGCACGATACCCAGACTTTGGCCAAATAAGGTCAAGTTTGGCTCCGTCTTGGCTTATTCGGGATTTTCGAGGCTTTAAATTCCCGGACAAAATCCAAATTTCAATCGAAGGAACTGCACGTGCTACCTGGGTAAGCTAAGCGATAAAGTATAATGCCCGTCAATACCTTTTCAAAGTGAGAAAATTGAAAAGCGTCGATGTCGTGTTCGTGCTAAGAGTGTCGCTCAGTGTACACTGTACGCAATACTGTTAGCCAATGCACGAGTTGGACTTTTTATTTTTTTCCTTTTACTTTAAAAGGGTACTTGTAGGCGCAGTACAGAAAAAGATTTGAAATAAAATTGTCACCGTTTTTAATTGCAATTTTTGCAGAATTACCTCTCTTCTGTGATTTTGCTGACTTATTAAAATCTGTGACATACACAGTTTTTAGCTGAAAAGACAAACGTCGTTAATATCTAAACTGGTACTTAATCGGCACAGTAATTGAACCAATTTCACATTTAAGTTTGCCAACTTGCTTACCTTGTTTTTGTGACTTCTGAGATGTGTTTGGCACGAAACACCTTATTAGTGACCAACCTTTTTGCTTGAAGTGGAAATTCGGGATAGTGGCGTCTTTTGAAGATCCAATGGCAGAAACAGCTACATTTGCTGCGCGCAATGGGCCCCTGATCTGAACGCCTCCTTTTTTTTTTTGCGGCAGGCAAGTCGCTGGTGCAAACGCTGATGGACAGCCAAATGGCTGACCTGGTGCACCTGATCGAATCGGCTAACCTGACGTCAGCCTTTGCCGGTCTGGACAACTTCACCTTCTTTGCGCCGTCTCCTGATGCGCTCAAGGTGGGTGACAGTTTATGCTTTATGATTGTTGAAATACATTGCCACTCCTAAGCATTTAGGAAACATATCTTGAGGACTTGCAGGAAACCTGGGTCAGCACTTGTTTGGACAACGCTCATGGTAGTCACCGCCGGCTTACTTCGCAGTCGCAGATTAAAAGAGGCCAAACCGCCTTTACGCTGCTGTGTAAAGAAATCTTGAATTGACGCCATAGATATTAAGATGGCGGATTTAAAATGAAAAACTTTGACTGTAAAATCAACTTTTGATGCCCGTTGATGCCGCGAGTAAAATCAACATGTTTGAAAAAAAGAATTTAATTATATGTGTTAAAATTAGCAATTCAAACATTACCAAACATTGTGTGTGTGTGTGTGTATGCTCTGCTTAGTTTTACCAACACTTGGCAAAGAGCGAATGCTACGGCCGCCTGAAGCCAATTGGAGTGACGGAGGCAAATCACGTGACGGCTCTTACCAAAGGTTTACGGCTGAGAGCGTAACCCAAGAACTTGGAGAAGACTATAACTATCTTTTGGGTATATCAGGCGTTGCTTTTGTTCCCCTCAGATATTATCCTGCCACTCAAAACTCGCACAAAAGTGGCTTTCCTTTTCCTCCCACCAGTGGCTTCGACAGCACCGCAAACAACTAGTAAAGTAGAGTAGAGTCACGCGTCTCCCTCCGACGTGCTGATTGGCTTACAATCGGACCGTAGCCTTCGCCGTTTGCCAAGTCACGGTGAGGTGGAGCATATACCAATACGCAGCTCTGACGTCACGCCGCTGCGGTGGTGCTGCTGTCGGCACGGCGCGTGCGCGGACACTCCACTTTATGGGAATCTGGTTTCTGCGCATGCGCGATGCCCACACCTGGTGTGCGCAGAGCTGACTTGTTTGCATACAGTATGTTGGTCTATGCAGAGCGCAAGTTCGTCTATTTGTTTTGCAGGGGTTGTGGTGACGTCAGAACGCCGAGCTCTGATTGGCTCTGATCGAAGGAGTGTGGGATGACATCAGGTCTGCCCACTATCCTTCAGGTGGAGCCAATCAGAGATCGGCGTTCTGGCGTCATCGCAACCCCCGCAAAAGAAGCAGACAAACTTGCACTCCGCATAGCTCAGCGCAGATAAGCACTTTCCAGGTCCTCAACGCTCTGGTACTGCGGTTTTCCTGCGTTCGATTTCTGTTCATAATATGAAATGAGCAATTTAAGTCTGAGGCCCACGGAGCTCACTCGTACTTCAAGATGTCTTAAGGCTCTGTCGCCTGCAATTATCTTTCCTCTCTCGCCTTTCGTCACTCTGCAGGAGGTGTCCCTCAAGGAGTGGGAGGACATGAAGTCCAGCGGCCGGCTGGCGCAGATGCTCAACTTCCACATGGTTCCGTCCAAGCTGGCGCCCAGGAGCTTCTTCAACAACATGCTTCTGCAGACGGCCGAGGGTGACGACAAGATTCGGATGAACGTCTTCCCCAGGGTAAGAACGTGCCGGAAGTTCGAAACCAGCTCCAAGACAGACATGAAATCAGAGAGCTTACTGATAATGTTACAAGAAGTTTTATTACGATGGAAGGTTGGTGCGAACGGTTTTTACAAAAGGCGCAACAATCGGTACGACGTCAATCATCGGTAACAGGCGATGCTCGGCCAGGTACGCTGTGGGCAGTAGAAAAGAGTTATCGACGGTACTCTTATCCATCGCAACAAACATCCTTGATAAAAGTTTTGTTTGTTACTGATAGTTCAAGCATTACTTTATTAACAGCACTTGAGATAATAATAATAATAATAATAATAATAATCTTTAATAACTAATTCTTAGAGTCAGGATCAAGTTCCAGGTCTTGTCAAAGCCTCAAGGGCTTGTGGGACTAGACCCAGCAGTTGCAGAAAGCTTATTGAAAATGTTCAAATTGTCACGTACACACACTCACACACACACGCACAAACACGAATCACACACCGATGATACAGTAAGTCATACTAATTTTTGTGTGATAGTAACTTTCTCACTGTCGCAGGGTGTCTCGTCTTTCTCTTCTTCATCGGATCTTTTATCACAACAGTCATCGCAGACAATGTTTGCTATCGCCTCCTTACTGAATTTCCCTTCGTCTTGACCATTCTTGTAAACTCTGTCCGATTTCATCGTCAACCGTCACTCACCAAATGTCTACTTTACCATCGGCCATTGGCAACTGGAACTCACTGCCTGACGTAATTGTTTCCTTATCTGTCACTAAGAAATTTTCTGCAGCCATCAGCTTATTTTTCTAACCTATAACTAAATTGCAGCGTGTTCTTGTTGATAAATATTTGTGTTATTTGTTTGCTTTTTTGAAGTGTTCACTCCCTTGTACAATGCCCCCTGGGCCTTCAAGGAATAATAAATGATGATGATGATGATGAGGATGATTCAAAACCGCCAGAACTTTTACCATTCAGATAAAAAATAATAGAACAACTATATACGGCTATTGTTGGGTAGCACGGAATTTCACAGCAAATTAGCGACAAACGAGCAGTTGTAAGGGCAAGAGAAGCCTCGTCTTTACTGTGAATTGTTACTCATTGTTTTACATTGTTTACACACTAGTGGGGAAATATAAATATATGTCCACTACACTTACTAGAACGTATAAAATCGAACAAGCACTTATATATTACTTACATAATTCATACAAAGTTGTGATATTTTTATTGAAAAATCAAGTATTAAAGTCGATTTTTATAGGGGCATAAATGGTAGCGTTTAGTTAGTGAAGGGCTACTAGCTGTGAATTGTTGCCATAGCACACTCGATCTCACTCTGAATTTTTTGGTCTCTCTAGGCTTTCTCGTTTGAGAGACCCACTGTGACAGCCCAGTGCGCCCGAGTGGTGAGCGCGAACAACCCTGTTTGTGGAGGCACCGTCTACCTCATCGACAAGGTGAGATACCACTTGCGGCTCACGTCCTCTTAGGATACATCATGCTCTCGTTCGGTATTACTTTAAATTTATTAAGTTGCACTGGTCACATCTGAATAATGCAGATGAACTACTTGAGTTTTTAAGACTTAAATCATGGACTTCTCAAAGGCTAATTTCTACTAAACTGCAGAATGCACTGCAAACCTATAGCTATGAAGAAAAAAACTTTTAATGCTCATCGAAACTCATGCCATCTTTCGATGAAGTTTGATCTTTCGTATTAACCTTTGTTGAATTAAAGGAGCGGACATCGGATGAAATTTAAATTTCTTTCGCATTCGGTCTTATTTTGCCTGCTGTCAAAATTCAGCTCCTTCAGGTCTTTTGTTTAAGAAATATTGGTGGAGCACGCGTCTGCGTACGCTAGTATTACTAATCTTAGTTCTAAGTCGGGGGGCCGCGGTGCCACTAAGAGGCAAGTAGCCCATACCATGAAGGCCAGCGAGGTAGAGGCCAACCCGGGTTCCGGATTGGACACGTGTCCTGCGTCAACGTTCGGGTGAGGCTCGTGTCCTCACTGATTGGACAAGCGTCTCAGCCGAACGCTGAACGCGTCTCCAATACGGACTCCGGGTTGGCCTCGTTGGGTGACGTAGGAAATTAACCACCATTAGCCTGACATCTCGTAGGTTTAGGTAGAGATCCTGGAGAAAAATAGAGCTTGTAGTCGAGAGTGAGGAGATGATGCTCCGGGGGATGACGGCTCAGAGTTCTTCTGTCGAGAGCTTCTATAATTAGTCATTCTGTCGGCGACGATCCATGATTGGTGGGAAGGTTCCATTCAGAACGTATTTTTGCTAACCTTCAGGTCCTCCGTCCTGCTGGAGGCGACGTGCTGGAGGTGATGGAGTCCGCGGGCAACTTCGCCACCTTCCTGAACCTGGTGAAGGAGTCCGGCATGGCGGACCAGCTGCGCTCCAACGCGGGGCCCTTCACGGTGCTGGCGCCCACGGACCAAGCCTTCCAGAGGCTCTCCAAGAAGATGCTGGCCAGCCTCCAGGGAGAAGATGCGGAATCCTTCGTCAAGCAGCACATCCTCCCAGGTGCGTGTTCGATTGCTCTCAACTGACCGATTTAGCTCTGCATTTGCGGTGAGAAAGAACAGCTCAAAATAATCTATACTGATTAAATGTTCTCTTCCCCACCCCAAGAAATCGAGTGGTTTTTACACCGCCAAAATAAACGACGCATTGCCAAATGCTCAGTCTCCACCCAAAGCAGCCGCCCGTACAAGATGCCAAAGTTTCAGAGCTTGCCATTATCTGATTCAAAAGTCATGAGCGTTTTCGGTGAATACCGATAAGCTCTTTAAATTAACCTCCTATCTGATTTTATTAAAATGGGAGAAAACCGGGAAAGCCCCAAAATATAGCTTACCTTAAATGCAAAAAGGGGAAAAAAAACAACAAATAAACAAATCAACAACTTCACAGGAGATGGCCATAAAGGCGTCGCTATGCAGAAAGTTTAAACAGTATTCAAAATGCTACATTTAGCATTAAATTCCCAACTCACAATACTTTATTAGAGTTTCATGGTTTTCCAAGCTTCACCATGTTACGCATAAAAACTACAGTGCTAGTAGTTTCAACCTGACGTAGTTATTATGGAACTCTCAAAGCAGAAACGGGCTGGAAAGGAACTCAAACAACGCAAAAAATATAAGGTGCGATGTGAGTGCCGTGTAGCTGTTCTTTTCTTGCGCTGAATTTTGATAGTCCTGCTGCGTTTATTCATATCAGGACCTTGCTCCAACGTAACGGCGAAAGGAACAGCGACCTACTATTCTCTTTGTTATGAGAACCATGACCTATTATTGTTCTCAGCGTGTCTCACTAGCCGATATACACGCACAATAGTCACAAGTCAGAGTAGAGCGAGCGACAGTAATTTCATAGATATTATCGGTAGCTCAGAGTGGATCTCACGCTGTAAAACGAGCCATAAAAACTGGTGCCCGCACACAGAAAGCTGCAACTGTCACCGAATATGTGAGGTGTATTTTATTTCGCGAAATTTCAAGGCGTAGTTTTTGTCCTGTAAAGCATAGATAAACTTGCGAATGTTGACAGCGGACATGTTCGCAGACGATAAAACTAGCGATGAATGTTGCTTACATTACCATCTCCCGACAGGCGCAACGAGCAGACGACAGAGCGTGTTATCAGTTCGCTACACCTGTCGGAAGATGGCGCTACAAGTTACATGCATCGCTAATTTGGTCGTCCGCGAACACGCCTACCGTAACTGCGGAACATTTGTTCGTCGCGTATGTTTAGAGGAAAAAGAACTACGTCTCGAATTTGCACAGTAAAATGCACCACCTCAATGCACATTCGGTGAAAGATGGAACTGTTTGTGCGCGAGTGTCAATTTTTGCGGCTCGTTTTACAGCCTAACATCCATGGTGTGCACCCTACATGCCGTGGGTGCGTCGACGTGCAATCTGCTTCGTCTAGGTGCTTGACCTTAATTTCTCTTACTTTCTTTCTGCAGAGATGGCATGCACCAGCGGCATTGGACACAACGGTTTCCTCAACCGTCTTGAGTACCGAAGCCTGGACGGAAACACGGTGCCCACCCAGAGAAGTCTGCGGGGCAATGTCTACTTCGGAGGCGCCAGGGTCTCCAAGGGAGACCTGATGGCCCGCAACGGTGTGGTCCACGCCGTCGAAAGGGTGCTTGGCGCGCAGCCAGAAAGTCAAGACCGACTCGGCTTTGGCTTCAACTTTGACTTCCACCCCTTCTTCCGGTCATTCTAGAAGGAAAAGACGAGAGGGTGCAGTCGTTTGCGCGCTGGTAGCACAAAGGACTCCACTCCCTCTAGGTGACTGGCAAGGGGTGGTTCGGGCGCGCGTTAAAGCGGGATGGCTGACTTAGATGACGTCACACTTTATAGTTTGCTGGCTAGTGGACGTGCTCTGCGGATAGCGGCGGTGGGTTTAGGTACGCAGGCTTTAGGCTCTATAGGATAATCGAGCCATAGTTTTCTGTTGATTATCAATTTATGGCGTTGTTGAGTCTATTTTTTAACGACGCGGCTGGATTACAAAAGGACAATGCAACTCCATTTGATTGAGCTTTTCCACAATTTTTTTTTCTCATTGTAGAAACAGCCATCCCATTTTTGCTACGTCCTCCCGTTGAACGCTGTGCGGCTACGGATTTTTTTTCAGCGTTTCTCGTGGCATTGGCTACGTAAACACAGTTATTTAGGACGCTGCTATATTGGCACTGTAAATACATTTTTTTTTCCGGGCAGCCATTTTACAGCGTCTGGATTGTTTGGAAGATTAAAACAAGAAAAAAAAACACAAAAAAAACTGACGGCGCACGGCGACTGTTCCCGGGATCATTCGTTGCCGCTTCACTGCGTCCTTGAAGAAGGTCTCCGCACCTGTTGTAGCTCTGCAAACATGACCGGCTGATCTCGGGGTGATCCATTACCGGGGCTGGGCTCGGTGGCTTCCATGTTTGCGTTCGCTTGTCGTTTACACTTGAACATAGTAATAAAGAAAAAAGTTTCTCTCCGCGTGTGGTCCTCTTCAATCTTGCAGCACCCACGAAGAAGATCCCTCTCAGCCAGCTGGGCGTTCAACGACTTCATTCTCGTGGTGTGTGGATTCTTGAGCTACCTTGCTGTATATATCAGATATAAAAAAAAGAAATGAAACAGTTGGGAAAGGTGGTGCGCACACTGGGCCATGCCCTCATCGTAGGGGTGCCTGTGACCGCTGCAGATGGAAGACAAGTGCCTCAAACATTTGTCTTGGAGGGGCGATGCGAGCATTTTTGTGATTTCCGTAAATGCCGCTTAGAGCTATTCCTTGACATTAAGAGCACACGTTACCTTTTTTTCTCTCCAAACAATAAATTTGTCAGCGAAAAAAAATTAGAAAAACGAGCAGTGTTCACTAAAGTGTCTAGAAAAGAGCTTCCTACAAGTAGCGACATTCTTGAAGCGCCGACTACGTGACGGTGCAAGTTTTAGGAAGCGAATGGCGGTGCACATCAGAAGACCACTGAATGACGCCATTTTGTTCCGACGGAATATGCTTTGTCATTTGTGCCAGTTTTTGCTGCTTGTGAAAAGAAGCATGAAGGGACTTTAGTGTTCACACCCTCTGTTCGCAGCCAGAACAATCGGTCACGTGGTCTGGAGTCGATTCTATGCCGCCAATGCTTGTTATCCGGCGATAAACTGAGGGAGAGGAGGGAACGAGAGCGCGTAGGGACGTCAGAAGGCCGGGCTCTGGTTGGATGGATTAGTGGAGAGACACAAAGGTACACTTAGTTACAGTTGAAGTCCACGCGCAGCCGACGCTGCGAGGTAAGGGGACCAATCAAGCAGCGTCAAAGGCGCGAGTCACTGGGCCTCCTCTGTTTATGATAGATTCAGCGACGATAGAACATGCACAGAAACATGACGGACAACACGGTGGTGCACTTTTGACGCTTTCTGGATGCTCTTATAATCTGGTAGCGTCGGCGGCGTCGGGACTTTGGAATGAAACCAACATTACTGACACACACAGTTGGGAAACTCACCTTAAAGCCTGGACTCGTGGCGTCGACCGAGACCGAGCTAAACACGATAATAAAGTCACCCTTCAGCGACGAGTTGAAACAAAATTTGCCTTACATGGCTACTGCTGGAGTCACTGAATGTTCCTAGAGAAAAACCTATATTTATATGAGAAATTTCTTGTGTCCAATAAACACATATGATTCATACAAGATATATAAGAACATATAATAACCACATAAAAAGTACATAAGAACTATATCACCATATATAAGAACGTATAAAAACCATATAAGAAAATTCTCACAAATTTCTTATACGTTTCTTATATGTTCTTATATATCTTGTAGGATTCATATGTGTTTAATATTACAAGCAAGCTGTACCCATAGTTTGTTTTTGAGAAGTATTAGAATCTCCTAATTTTATCGTTTTAGTTATTCACTTTCAAATGTGCCCCCTCCATCAGTGCGCATTAATGCAACTGTCCACCTCCTCATGCGTTACGATTTTTCCTGTCCCCAAATTTTTTTTTTTCTGGTGAAAACTAAGTGTGGTTTCCTTTATACCAGACAGTAGACAATGGCATATAAAAACATCAGTTGATTTTAAAATGTCGGCCAGCCACCCTTTGTTCGATATTATCTGAAATCACCCACATCCATGCCTCACCGCGGTGACTTCAGGTAGCGCGCCTGACCTGGGTGGGTCTTAAGTTCGGTGGTAATTTGCGGCGCGTCCGCCCTGGAGAGGAGGCTTGGCATTTGTGAAACCCCTTCCACCGTATAGACCAGAATCTGCTCTGTTTTACGGGCGCTGCCATGTTGATCGATGCTGGCGCCAGCACACGGGCAAAAAAATCGAAAAACCCAGGGTGGTGGAGGGGGGCTGCGCAGTCCGCGCAGCCCCGCGTTGTTGGAGCGCGTCGAACAGCGAGGAGGGCGCAGACGACGCACACGCTTCGTTCAAAATGGAATTGTCAGAAGCTTCCACGGACAAGTTTACAATAGGTAAGATACTGTGCACATTTCCGGTAATATCTAAAACCCGTCTGGTTAAGTAAACGAGGGCAAAGGTTTTTTATATTTATGCTTCCCGCGCTAGTACGCTCTTGGCATTCCCGCTCTCGGCTTTACTGCGTAGTAGGAACGGTAAAAAGTCTCGAAGGGGCTACCGGCGGTTCACGGTATTGTTCGAACGCTAAATCGTTTGCTTCTTGCATGAATTAATACAGAAGGATAAGGAACTTTTCCGCAACTTCGATCCGATCCGGCCAAATCACGAAATCGATCTGGCTTCGACAACTTCTGTCGCGGAAATGGGATTCAGGGGGATATGAATCGCGTCTACGTGCTTCCGAGCGGCACGCAATATATTCGTGCCGTGTTCCACAAAACATTTTCGCGATCATATTTGATCTTCCACACTGACAGGCATGCACGCGAACCGATTCAAAACTGATCTTATAACACTGAAGGCGCATTGCCTGTCCTTTCTTTTTCCATTCTCCGGATTAAAATTACTAACAGAGTCAAGCACAACGCTAGTGAATACCGGCTGATGACGTTTCACATGATTCGTCATTCGTACCGTAAATAATTCTATCGTTTTTGCTCTTTATTTCTTTTTAGCACCCTTGGAGGTTCCAGACCCCTCCACCCTCCCCACATGTGACTGGGTCGACAACATGAAGCAGTGGCCTCCTCTCCAGGAGCACCATCTCACATATTATTTGTTGAAAACAAAAGCCTGCGACCTGGAGGAGGTCCAGGCTTTGAAAAGCCTAGAATCGTATAATTATGTTGTAAGCGGTAAGGTGGGTCAGTTGCTCATAAACAAATTCTCCGATCATGTCTGCTTCATCAAAGGTGCTGTAACTCCATCTCAGTCAGAAAATGATGTTCCCCATAAGCCCTGGGTATGCATTGCAACTGATGGAAACGACTGCCGTGTGCTGACAGGAGCCTGTTCTTGCAAGGTTGGCAAAACTCGTGTGTGTAGTCACATTGTTAAGTTGCAGAATAGAGCATGTTTCCCCAATCTTTCAGGTCTGTTAGATTTTTATTGAGATTAGAGATGTCGCAATCGCATAAAAGATCACCAAAGTAATCAATATACAGTCGTTTCGTAGAACAGTGACTCAAAGCCTAACCTCTCGGCTCGCTCAGCAATCCAGCAAGCTTCAGGGTGGCAGTGATGGCTTTGCCCAGCATAACATTTATCTTTTACCACTTCGTTTCAACCTTGCTGCACAGAGCTTACGTGTCAAAACAATGAACGAAACTTACTCGATAACTGTAGAACTGAAATCTTCCCGAGATTCCTAGAGTTCATACTTTGCAAACTTATACATCGGAAAAAAATGTGATATCTTTGAATTTGTTAACTTAGACCGCAAGAATATTTGAGAAGTCTCGAAAGCTTTTAACTTTGCAGACATGAACCTCGGCCAGGCGAGGGGGGGGGGGGGGGGGGCGGCCATAGGGCCAGCCCCCCCCCCCCCCCCCCCCTTGAAACAAAATATTAGCTACGTGCCCGACCGCGGCGGCGCTCGCATTTTGTGAACTTTGCAAACTCGAACCTTGCCTCAGCGAGGTTCGAAACTTTTCGAACTCAAACCTCAGGATGTTTGCGACATCTGTAGTTGCGACAGCCAAAACTGACTGCTTTGAAACAGTGAGACATCGTACACATGGTGTAAAGTTCTCATTAAATGATTATGCTGAATACTGTAAACGACTAAATTTTCGCGAGGACCTAATGCGCGAGGAAAATGCGTCCTGCGAACTATTCGGGCAATATGTGAACGCTACGAAAGTTACACTCGATTCGCGAAAATTAGAACCCGCAAATAATTTCCAATTTTTAGCCTTGACCCGATTCGCAAAAACTTCAGCCCGCAAAGATTAAGTCGTTTACAGTATGCAAGTGCCAGTTTGTCGTGCCAGCATTCTGCAAGTACTACAGTTGACAATCACTTTGCCACGACTGCCTTAAAGTTTTTGTCGAGAAAATGTTTTTAGTAAGGCACATAGTTCTGGTGCCTAACCTCTGAATTCACAAACCTCACTCCAATTGAGGGGCCCCTCCAGTTTTCCGAGGAAGGCGCTGGCCAATTGTGACGGCGGATCCGTCGTCGCCATTAGCCAGCGCCGGCCCTCGCGCCTTCCTCGAGGAAGTGGAGGGGCCCCTCAATTGGAGTGAGGTTTGTGAATTCGGCGATTAGTGTGTCTAAATCACTGCACTGGTGTTATCTTGTTCTGTCTCAAGGTTGTCTTTGCGACATAGAGGAACCGCCATGTTTCAACTACTAAAAGAGCAAGTATATAACTGCATTTGTACTATTTTGCTACTCTTGATAGCGCAATAGATTACCAGATGTCTAAATAAATCTTTACTTTCAATTTGTAGGTGCTGTCCTTTGGAAAGTAGAGTTTGCTGTCCGAAAGGGCCTGACTGGAAGCTCGTGCACGGACGAAACTGCTCTCTGGAACTCCGGCACGAAACGCAATGTGGTACCAGGTCAGATTGGAGACATGTACTTCACACTGAAGAAGGAGATGGGGGAGCAAGTACCACCCTCTGATAAAGTGCGTTTTGAAAAATTGAACACCCACGAAGAGTATGTCAAACATATGCAGGACTCGGTTGTGTCGCCACTCCTTACAGTGCAGGGAAGTCTGCTTCAAGCTACTATAGCTGCAGATGTGAGCTGCTTGGCATCAGGCGTCAGTGGCTTGAGGTGATTCATGGTAGTCATCAGAATGTTGAGCCGCTTTCGTGTAGTGCATGCTTTTCTTTTTACAAGAAGTGGGTTTCACTTGAGGAATGTGCGAGAAGTGCACTCTCTGAAATCACCACAGATCAGGAAGGCGAACACTGGAAGAGTAGCCAGAAGGTGCGGTTGACCGCGTCTATCCTGTCTAAGGTGCCAGAGAAGACGTCGACCGCACCTGACAACTTTGTTAATAGCTGTTTACACTTAAACTTTAGAGGTAATAAGTACA